TATTTTGCCAGACTGTGCTAGATCTACTCATTACCATATTTAATTCCCACAACAATGTAAGAAAGATACTGTTATCTCCACTTTGCAGTTAGGAAAAGTAAGGGTTGGCAAGAATAAATAGCATGCCCCAAATCACAAATCTTCTGTGGAGCTGAGATCAAACCCACATCAATCTATGCTAATAACCATGTTTTTTAGAATGTTTATTGTAACTTACTTGATGTCATATCCTTTGCCTGATTATAAAACTATATTCCTCATTTCAATATAATTAATACTACATTATAGCATAGCTTTGGGTCATGATAGCATACTTTTGATCTAAGCAAGAGTTTCCAAACATCATAATATTACCAAGGTGTGAAACAGTCTTACTTTTGACCCAAAACCTGGAACTGTTTAAGGATTCTACCATCTTTCAGTGCAGAGAGAGGTCAGTCATTACTTCTTTTCCAAATAGAAGAAAACTGAAATTTGAAGAAAAGTAAGAATTTTTCATTTATCCCTAAAGGGTACATAGAATTGGGCCTTATTTCTACTAACTGTATGATCTAAAGCTCTACCAAAATACTGTCCTGCATAGGCATAGGAAATTTAGAAATCTAGTCCCAAGAAAGGAATCTGCACAAAGTAAGATTAACTTTCCACCTGCCCTTGGGCAGAGGCCCAAGGCCCACAAGTGAATATTATAAAGAGATGCTCGCTTTAACACCTACCTTACCCTGAGAGCTCTTGCCCAACATTTTGCATTAATAGAGACATCAAGAGAAATGTTTGTCACTGCTATTCTTGCACAGGGCTTTTTTTGGCTTTGTGAAAATAGAAGTACCATGAATTACATGCTCAAACATGTCCACATTCTTGGCAAAGCAACAAAAAAATCTTGGGGGTCAAATCAGTGATAAAGTATCTACCAAATGGATATTTTATAGCTACGCTTTATAAATCACCAAGGAATGTGCACTGGATATCAGAAAGTCAGAACAAATTTTACAAGACTGTTCCAGAACTACCATGGCAACCAAATACAAGAAAACCTCCACCTATCAAAGTAATTCGAGCAGCCCATTCATTCCACAAAAAGTATTAAGGAAAAGTGGGGACTAGGAAATTTATTTTAGACCAAAATTTGGCCTCAAGTTTCTCATCTGTAAGTGGACACATAGTAGTTTATGCAATTATTGCAAGGATCAAGTAAGATTGTAATCCCCCCTCCAAATAAAAACAAATGCCGAATGTTTTCTTTGATAAAAAGAGGCTGATTCATAGTGGGGGAGGGAGGGGGAGCATGGGAGGAATAGACAAACTCTAGATAGGTCAGAGGGTTTGAGGGGAAGGGAGGGGGCATGGGTTATTAATGATGGTGGAATGTGATGATCATTATTATCCAAAGTACATGTATGAAGATATGAATTGGTGTGAATATACTGTGTATACAACCAGAGATATGAAAAATTGTGCTCTGTGTGTGTAATAAGAATTGTAATGCATTCTGCTCTCATATATAAATAATTTAAAAATTTTAAATAAAAAAAAATTACAAAGTATATATATATATATATATGATTATTTGTAGGGAAACACCCTTTACTGAGCAGGCACTCATATACTGGGGGAATTTAAGTTTGAGAGATTGCAGAATGTAGGGCACGCAATAATCTCCTGACAACATCCATTTTTTAATAGGCAAGTTTTTAAGGCTTCAACAGAGGCAATCGAGAGACAGTCCATTCTCAAATAGTGACACCCACAAGGTATTTTATATGCCTTTGCAACCCAACTTTTATTCTTCCATAATGGATTGTGGTAGTAAAAAATTCCAAGAACCATAATTGTGCAGTGAAAGCCCTTGAGACTGCCCATAAAGGTGGCCTTCTTCTTGTAATGGGTTATTCCTTTTGTACACAAAGCATTTTCATTGCTTTCAAAACAGACTTCCTGCTGCAGAATGGCTTAAATGCATGTGCTTAACACAGAAGGAAGAATCTGCTTTTAGGTGTCATTTTTCTGTTAGTTGTTAGTTTTTCTGTCTCAGTCCTTGCTGTCTTGCTTTTTTTTTTTTTTTTTTTTTTTTTTACTCATGCCCCAGAGTGTAGAGTAAAGGTTACAGGCAGCAACTCTAGACAAAGACAAATTTAACCAAGTGTACTAATAACTCAGGGAATGTTTGTAACAAATCCAATCACACCCTTCACTCAATAGACATACACTTATTTAAATGTGTTTAGTTGGAAGGCTGAGAAGGTTCTGTCTGCTAAGGAAAACAAATTCTATATTTAAAGGGGAAAAAAATACAAAGACCTCTGAGCTAGAAAGCATCCTGTCAATTCCCTGCCTCATTAAAGACCAATGAAGATGAAATCATCTCATTGGAGTAGAATAATTAAATAGATTTAATTTCCAATACATGTCAGGTAGAATTAAAGCTATAAAATTCGAATGGACTTAGTGATGCTTTAACAGAAATTTTATCTGGATAATTGTCAGGGGTACTGAGAATCCTGTGGAGAATGTTCCACAGACCAGGGGAAATCATTAAAGCTCCCAATGGGGGAAAAAAATGTTTCTTCCAATACAAAAAAAAAGTAAAATTCACAATCCATAATTTGATGTAGGAACAAGATCTTGAATATGCTTTCATTTTTTATTTTCAAAATATGTTTACTTTTATTTTCATCTAATTTCCACGATGATAAAATAGTTTTGTGATAATAATATAAAAGGGAAAAGTAGTAAGTGGGGGGAAAGTGTTATTATTTTACAATCCCAACTGCACCAGCAGCAGCTTACAGACTAAGCAAGCAGCATGGCATGCAGTGTGAGCACAGGGAGGCTGAGGAGCTCTCTATGCTGAAAAGAAGAGGACATATTGGTGGAGGGAGGAAGGGAAATCAGATGTCAGGAACCAGGAGAGCTGGGTCAAAGAAGCGTGGGGGACCAAGGAAGAGGGAGATAAGATGACTGACAGCTAGAGAGGAAATTTTAGGGATTAGGAAGCTGTGTTTTGACAGCTGTGTGGTAATCACTGTAACCCTCCCATCTCCTCTGCAATCATCATTTATTCCCCCATGAGAGTACTCTGTTGAACCAATGGGCCGGTAGTAGATTGCTGCCATGCCCAGAACTGCTGGAGACATGACAATGTGGGCTCCTCCCAGAGCCTGAGTTGCTCTGGGTTGGTTTTTAGAGAGCACCCCAGAAGTTGGGACACCATCTCCTCCAACATAACCTAGTTGCTTCCAAGGCTTTTAATGACCCTGTGCACCTGGCAAGGTGATAAGAACTGAAGCAAACAGAAAAGAACACTGTGTTGGGTAGAATATGGGCCCATTCTTGGTTCTTTCTATCTCCACCAGAGTCTGTCCTGGATCAGAAGTCCCAAGCTCAAATGACTTTAGGACACCAGGCACACCCACAATTGGAAAAAAATACTGAGTATAAGATACAGTTTGAGCATCCCTAACCTGAAAATCCCAATGCTCCAAAACCCAAAACTTCTTGAGTGCAGATATAATGTCACCAGTGAAAAATTCCACACTTCATCTCTGTGATAGGTCACAGTCAAAACACAGGTGCACTAAAAACACTGTACAAAACTATCTATCTGCATAAGGTGTATATGAAACCTCAATGAATTTCATGTTTAGAAACGGGTTCCATCCACAAGTATGTTTGTGTATGTATACACACACATAAGCAAATATTCATATGCATATATATGCAAATGTTTCAAAAATTTTTTTTAAATCCAAAATACTTCTGTTCCCAAGCATTTTGGATAAGGGATACTCATCCTACAGTACAGCATGTCAGGGTCTGTTGGAAGCTAAAGATTACAGATCCCTCCCTAGAGGCTTTTAGAATCTATTATTAGGAGGAAAAGGTGGTGGACAAGCAAAACATCTGTGTGAAGAATTTAAGATCTTTATTAGTTTTGCCTAAATGCTCGATGACCAACACCACATAAAAATAAATAAATAAAGATATTATGTCCAACTACAACTAAAAAATAAATATTAAAAAAAAATTGCAAACTCAGAAGCATCTGAGAAAACCTGACAGAAATATGGCCTCAAATATCCAAGTTAAGTACTCAAAGTTAAGTACTCAAGTGAAGGACTGACCCAAGCTTGGCATCCAGGTATTTTAGGCAGAACCTCTTTCTAAAATCATCTTTGCCAAAAATCACCATATAGCATCCAAAGAAATTTTAAAATGTCATGAATATCTCCTAAAAGAAAAAAAAAACTCTGGTGTATTCAAATGAGAAATCTTTTAAAAGATCATCCGGAAACCATACATACACACAATTTTTTTTTTTGGTACTGGGGATTTAACCCAGGGGTCCTACATCCCCAATCCTATTTATATGTATATATGTATGTATTTTTGAGGCCTCACTAAGTTGCTTAGGATCTCACTAAGTTGCTGTGGCTGGCTTTGAACTTGTGATACTCCTGCCTCAGCCTCTCAAGTAGCTGGGAATACTAGAGGCGTGCGCCACTGTACCTGGCTACAAATTATTTTTCTTGTGGATCAAACCAAGGTTTTCAGAAGGTTTAATTCACAATGATTATATTCCACTAAAAGTTTTCAGAGAACTGGGGAGGGGCAGGCAGTAGAGCAAGAAAGATTATTTCAAAGTCCTGGAAACCATGACAAATTTTCTTTGCAGAGTTTATTGTTGAATATTAGCCTCAAACAGGGCCAAAATCCTAATGGCCCAGAGAAATCTCATAGCAAAGAGGGGCAGGAACCAATCTCTTTTCCAGATTCCAGAACTCCTGAAAATAGGAGTTTGATTATACTATAAGCATTTGATGTCTGGGTACCTAGCCAGGGTACTCCCTGAGGGCTTCAACCTGATTTCAGAACTCCAGCAATGCAAATATTGAGGACTTGGAAGCTCCCATTCTGTGTTCAAGTCAGTCTTTTGCAATTAGGCCATTCCCCTTCTCACTATCATTTGCAAAACTAAGAAGGAAAGCAGAAAGACTTACCTGCAGCTGCTGGTCTAATTCTGGAAAGACCAAAGGAATAGGGTCTTCAGGAGGTGTATCATCTAAAACATGAAAATAAAATGATTCTTCACTAGAGAGCCTTTATCTCTTAAGCGTCACCCTGCTGGGACCAGCCTTGTAGTGCAATAGTTAAAACTGTCACTATCTACTGCTTCAGTTATTTTCATCACTTCAGTGGTGACAGAATGTAAGAGAAATTTTGCTCATTGTATGTACACATAGAAGCATGGAGAGGTTAATTGGACTGACTAAATTAAAAAAAAAAATACACACACACACACACACACACAGGATCCTCCAATATCCTGTCTGGTAACTCTACAATTAATAAGGGCTACTTGTCTTTCAAAATTCCCACATTAGCCAAAACCAAAACATATGATATGCAGGAAAGTGCTTAACAAGGTGTTAATGAGGTGGCCAGAACAACCTCAATGGGGCAGAACACTCCACTGAAAAACAGAAGCATTAGTTGCACTGAAGCGTCACAAACATTGATGGTTGTGCCCTCTGCTCTTACTACAAACCAGCACCAACAGGCAGCTCACCAGGAACTCGCTCTGGGTTACAGCAGGTAGGACAGCAAGCCACCCACACACCAGACAGCCCTCCCCACCTGAGGCAGAATCCACAGACTTGTTTCAGGGCAGCTGGAGCCCAGACAGCTGTGGCAACTGTCCTCAGCTGCCCCATCCTCTTTCTCCAGAAGCACTCACATGGACAGACTGGCAATAGACTAGCTAGATCAAAAAATGCAGTCTCAGGACTGGGGTTGTGGCTCGGCGGTAGAGTGCTCGCCTAGCCCTGGCAAGGCACTGGGTTCCATCACCAACACCACATAAAAATAAATAAATAAAGATATTATGTCCAACTACAACTAAAAAAGAAATATTAAAAAAATGCAATCTCAGAAGCATCTGAGAAAACCTGCAAGAAATATGGCCTCAAATATCCAAGTCACTGGGGGCTGGAGATGTAGCTCAGTTGGTTAGAGTACATGCCTCAGATGCACAAGGCCTGGGTTCAATCCCCAGTACTGCCAAAAAAAAAAAAAACCCAAGTTACCCAAGAATGTCTTCAAGAAGAGCCTACTGATCCCACCCTGTTACTAGAGAAGAGCCCCTTGGTAAACAGCACCTCCATCTCTCCAGGTCGACTCTGGCTCTCAGGGGCCATCGTCCATCCTTCTCCAGTACCTACCCCAGTACATGACTATTGAGAATACCACAAAATACAAACTAAAAGAACAATATTTTTTTAAAAAAGCCATTTTAAATTATGATAAATCAAGGAAAGATAATGGCTCTTTATATTCTCACTAACATAACCAAACTTATTAATAAAAATTGATTGTGTTCTTTTTGAACTAGAGGAAATGATACAGGCTTTATTCAATGAATAAACAAGTACATTTATGTCAAGAGGGATTCATTCCAGGACTTCCCATTATACCAAATCTGAGGACATTCAAGTCCTTTATAGAATGGAGTAGTATTTATGTATAACTTCAGCACATCCTTCCATATACTTTAGATCATCTCTAAGTTACTTCTAATTCTACAATTAATTGCTATGTCAATAATGTATAGCTTCTAGACTGTATTGTTTGGGGAATAATGGTGGGGGGAATATGTACAACTTCAATACAGACAGTTTTTTAAAAAAAAACAACAAAACATTTTCCATTCTCAGTTGAATCTACAGACAAAGAGCTCACAAGTCTAGCAGGCCAATTTTATTCCCTCCCAACTCACTGATAGCACAGCCCAAATAAAATGCAGTACATGAAGTACTCCTAGTTTCTAAGGGAATATGTATCTTTGGAGACCTGGAAGATACTTACCAGAAAGATCATTTAAACAAAGGCAGTATTAACTTCTGCCAGATACCTCAGGAGTCTTGTCACTTTAATAGCATTTGTTCTTTCTTAGTAAAGAGGATAATAATACTCCTGCTTAGAAATGGCTTCGAAGCAAGCAATGCACCACCTCACTTGAATCCATTTTGTACCCACACCTGGGCCAGTCAGTATATGTCCACGGGTTCATTGATGCAACTTAGTTTCACAGAAGACTCAATCCACAGACTCTTGGAATGCTATCTTCCTATCAAGACTAGGAGTGACAAATTCTAGCCAATTTCTGTGGCCTTTTCAATTCACTCCATCACTTGCAGAGAACTGCACAAAAGGCAGAAATATCCACTTGCCACTGCTGACCCATTATGGAAAGAGCCTGCATTATGAAATTTATACTCTGTAAAACCGATTTTGGTCTTAGAGGCATTTAATTTATTTCAGTACAATTTTAAAAACCTAGACATCATGATTATTTTAGCTCATTGGGTCCAAGGCCAGAACAATTTGGCACAGATAATTGAGGACATATTATGTTTTGGCATCCCAACCCTAATAATCACAGACAAGCAGGCACTTGTTGGAAGGAGAAACCACTCTGTAAAGTACAAATGCAGACAGAGAATTCTAGAACTCTAGGAGATATTCAGGAACAGAACTCAGATGCTTCCTGAGACTTAATCCACCTCGCCTTCTGCAATGTCATGCTCCTTCCTGCTTAATTATTAAAAAGGGAGGAAAAATTATTCATTTTTTCTAATGTAGTAACATAGATAGAAAATAACTACTGTGACCCAGGATTAATGAAGTTCAATATTGAATCTAGGAGCTGGGGATGTGGCTCAAGCAGTAGCGCGCTCGCCTGGCATGCGTGCGGCCCGGGTTCGATCCTCAGCACCACATACAGACAAAGATGTTATGTCCACCGAGAATTAAAAAATAAATATTTAAAAAAAAAAAAAAAAAAAAAAAAAAAAAATATTGAATCTATGCCATCATTTATAGTCATACATCAAGGTATATTATATGTGACTGTAAAGATAATTTTCCAGATAAATGAAGGCTTAAGACTGGACTTCTTAAGTTGAAATGAAAGTCTAATTGACTGACATGAAAATAAACATATAATAGATGTTTTGGGAGACAAGCAAAATAAAAACCTTGTGTTAAAGAATGGATCAAGTTGGATTAACCGAAGCAGGAAATGGCAGCGGAAATAAGAAAACCAAAGACAGTTGTAAGGAGACTACCAAGCCTGCAAGCCAACCCTGCATTTCACTGCTCCATGCCATCTGGTTTAGCTGGCATCCCTGCCTGCCAGGAATTTGAGGGCTCGAGAAGCAGCTCACAGAGCTGCCCCAAGTTGATGTGTGGGGTGTTTACTTTTAAACCGTAGCTGTCTTCTTTGACTGGTTTTAAAAATAGGCAAATATTCTAAAAGTGGAATGATGAATCACAGGAATGGGCCAAAAGGAAAGAAGGAAAATGACTCAGTTAGACGAGTAGCACAGCTGTTCCACAAACATTTGGCCGAATCATTGTAAAACATTTTGACAGTGATACTGGATCAGAGTTCCTGGGAGCAGTTAAGTTTGTTTTGACAATTCCAGAAGCACGAAGTAGTCTGTACAGTAGCTATACCGAGAGACCCCCTGGGATGTTTAGCTTAAAAACAACAAGAAAGAAAGAAGGTTGCTAGATGTGTTTATAATAGAACAAATCATAGTGCAAGTATGTTTTTTATTAAAATTTATCTTACTCAAAGGTTATAGAGTGTCTGTTATGTGCAAAGCAGGGACTTAGACTCTATGCTAAAATGGTAAATTACCTTATATTTTTCAATGCATTAAGGAAGCAATTGGAAAGCACCTCATTCAAAACGACATTGTCGGTTTAATGGACCAAGCAAAATGTATCCTAAGGGATTTTTTAGAGGATGAAATATTAAAGAAAGAATTAAAGAGGAATTTTTAAAATAAGCAGATGTCCACTGCTTATTTGGCAAACACTGTGTGACTAAGCCAATGGTCCTTAAGATAGAACTTTCTTGTTGGTATCCCAACCATTATAACATACCATAGTACATTCTATGATGGGCTCGTCTCAGCATCTACCAAGCAGCTGTTGGGTTGCTTCCGTGGTGATTCTGTCTTCAGATTCCCTTAAACTGTCTTCTCTTTGTTTCTCCATGGAATGGATAAAGAGGACACACTGACTCTGTGATCCAAATCCTCACTGCCATGCCATCTGAGTTATTAGAGAATGCCTAAGCCGAGAGGAAGCAAACAATCCTCTGGCCCAGTCCTCTCAAAGCAAAGCTAAGGACAAAGACTCAAAAGGGAAAAGAGCCCCCCAAGACTTCATGATTGGTGGCCATGTGAGATGAAGGGGTATCTCCCCTCCCAGGATTCTTTTTAACATGCTACTCTGCTTTTCTTCACTTTCTGGCCCATGGATTCCCAGGCTTATATTTCATGAACCCCTGAAAATTATCCCCCAGTATTTGGAATCATGCCTCGGAGCATCCAACTTCTTATTTAGCTAGGGAAGATGATTCAAAAACAATTACTGTACATCAATAACATCTCTTTATGAGATAGAACATTTTAATGCCCAAATCATAAGAATCTTGGAAAAAAGGAGCATCCATTCTGGATAAATTGATTGTGGACATGAGCAAACATACCCTAAAACAACCTCACTGTCATGCCCTTTTTATTTTTGTTTTATGAGAGAAGAAAACTTCATCAAAGTCTGACTTGGTCTATAACAAGTGTTTGAGAACCACTGTTCTAAACAATATCTTGATTGGACAATATCTTGATTTAACTTTGGGATTGGTTACCTCCCTCTCCCACTGTGCTCATCAGCATAGACATAATTGGAGTCTCAATTGGGAAATTCCAGTTTAGGTTGACACACAGAAGAGACTGTAACAGGAGAGGGAGAAGCCATGCCCAGAAGACAGACCCCTGACCACTCCACTCCCCAACTAGAATGCAAGAGATGGCCCTGCTCGGGATCCTCTGAAGATGCCTCTATTTCCTGCAGTCAGAGCCAGCTTCATGCACACATGACCGGCAATTACAAAGACCACTTTGCCCACAAGGGACCCCATGCTTGTGTTAATGCTCTGTTATAATGTCTTGAATTTTTGTAATTTTTGAATGAGGAGCCCTGCATTTT